AAAATGGAGAATAGTAAAGGTGACAGATTTTCCCCTTGTCTGACGCCGTTGTTACATGAGAAGTAGTTTGATACATCATTATTACATTGTACAAGTGATTTGATATTGCTATACATTGATTTGACAAGATTCAGGAATTTGCCCTCTATACCAATCGTTTGCATTTTTTTCCACAATCCCACTCGCCAAACAGTATCGAAAGCTTTTGTAAAATCTATAAAGGCACAATAGAGTTTTTGTTTCCTATCTTTCAAAATTTGCATCAGATTATAAATTATAAATACATTGTCAACAGTGGAGAATGATTTTCTAAACCCGGCTTGGGCATGTGTTAAAACATTATTAGTATCTAAGAAATGCATTGTCAGTATTATCGTTATCTCCTTGTTCACGTTGTGCTGATTCATTTAATGATTTGAAGTGCTCGTAAAATACGTCAATATCTAAAAAAGAATTGTCATCCTCTTTATTTTGATTACCATTTAAAATTTTCCAAAACTCTTTCGGGTCATGTTTCTGTTTTTCTCTCAACATTTTATCTAATTCTTAGATTCAATTCTATAAACGCGTTTGTTATAAACAGAATTATTTTTTTAAATCGCCGTTTGGCTTTATTAAATCTTTTCCTAGCATTATGGCACGCTACACTAAACCACGGTTTAGACTTGTTAACATTTTTCTTCCTTCTTTCTCTCTGGCTTCGGACTCCGAAAGTTGCTCGTGCAGCCTCTGTCAGCACGTGCGCGACCTCATCTGTGATGTCACTCACCAGGACTGGGTCACCTTGCTCAAGCCTGGCTAAATGTGCTTTCTGGCTCAGGTTGTTTATCCTTGCTGTGTCTAAGTTGTTAATGAATTCTTTGGATTTATCACGGTTATATCGTCTTGGCCTACGTTGAGGGTTATGTGACTTACTGACTTTATGTTGGATACCTGTTGTTGGAGCCTGCAGAATATTACTGGAAATGCTAAATGTTATCGGACAGTGTGCATCTGAATACAAGGGTGAAAAGTCAGGTACATTCAAATCAATGATTAAAGGTAAGCATGATGCAGAGCATATTACATAGTCAACAACACTAGCATCTTTACATGTTCTTCTACCAATATGATTAACGTCCACTCACCAGTATGTAGATACTAGTCAATGTACGTTTATATGTTTGGTCTTATAATCCTAATTAGTTTATTATCATAGTTGTATGCATTTTGAAACTAAATAAAAAGCAGACAATCTGCTGATACTTATAGTGAATTTATAACAGGACTGTAATATCTAGACATTTTATAATTTGCCAATGTGAATCATAATTCGCACACACACCCTAGTGTATGTTGTCTGTCTCATTACACTTCACGGCGAAAACAATGATTCTGTTGAATGCTACGACAAATGAATAAAAACAAAATTCAAATATTAAAATTAAAACAGATTAAAGTTATAGGAACAATGTCAGGCTATTATCTTCTTCGAGGAATGTATCCATCAATATCCACAAAAACGAGTGATATGCCATTCATCTGCAGCTGTTCCAAGTTAATATGCGAAAAAGTGATAAATCTTTTCAGGTATTTCACATTGGTGTATACTCTCATTGGTCACCCAAGATAGCACACCTGGCAACTAATTGCATAATGTCCGCCTTTCTTTAAAAACAGTAATTTAGTAAGCCAATAATGGGCAATCAATCAATGTATTGCCGGTTAATCCTTTGAAAGAAGGACGTTGTTTTTACGCAGACACCGACACGACAGAGTGTATTCAGTATAGATAAGTCAATCTACATACATAAACACTACCTTTTGACAAATCCGCTGTGTAAGATAAAAGTAATTAATCAATCAGCGTGTTATCGGTTAATCCTTTGATCGATGTTTATTATGTTGAATATTTACTCCAGACACAAGAAATGCCAAATGGGAACCTTTGTCGGGTAATCTAAGTGTGTTACGACTAATTACACCTGTTATAAATTCATTAACTGACCATCAAGTGAATGATGACAAATAACATGTCTAGGTTTATACCACCTAACACGGGTTACAACAAGGGAGTATTAATTGCTGTATTGCATGTGAAAACTTATGGGCCGACACTGTTTTGAGAATACAAACAGATTTTTACATGACATGATTAAATATCGAGGTAAAAAAAACACAGAAATGGTATCATTTTGGACCAGTCATTATACAAATAAGGCCTAACGACACCAAGCAATTTTGACAGAATCGTCTATGAAAACAAGTTGTAACTCGGAAACTAGGCAAAGCAGGAGACAAAATTAAATGACAGTAGATTGTGAGAACATATAGCTTTCATTTTCCACAACAATTGTCCCGATTTCAGGTTTATACAAACCTGTAAACAAGATAATTTACCCCCTGAAATGTAGATGAATTCTGCATCGGCCCTCATATCTATTCCTCATATGACGTCACAGAGACGCACCGCTCTGATTGGTTGAAATTTCGTTCGCGGGTGAGAATTGTGCACTGTTGTCAAAAAGGTCGATTTAAGTTAATTAAAGACCGAAGTGAGTAGTTGTAACGACGGGGTTTCATTTATAGCGTTGCCAGTTAGTGATTTATGTATTTGTACCCCCCTAGAGTATATGTGATCTTTAACAACGTATCCAACTCCACAACGTATCCAACTCCACAACATGCCCAACTCCACAACGTATCCAACGCCACAACATGTCCAACTCCACAACGTATCCAACGCCACAACGTATCCAACTCCACAACATGCCCAACTCAACAACGTATCCAACTCCACAACATATCCAACGCCACAACATGCCCAACTCCACAACGTATCCAACTCCACAACATGTCCAACTCCACAACGTATCCAACGCCACAACATGCCCAACTCCACAACGTATCCAACTCCACAACATGTCCAACTTATCAACGTATCCAACTCCACAACGTATCCAACTTAACAACGTATCCAACTCCACAACGTATCCAACGCCACAACATGCCTAACTCCACAACGTATCCAACTCCACAACATGTCCAACTCGACAACGTATCCAACTCCACAACATGCCAAACTCCACAACGTATCCAACTCACACAACATGTCCAACTCCACAACGTATCCAACACCACAACGTGCCCAACTCCAAAACATGTCCAACTCCACAACGTATCCAACGCCACAACATGCCCAACTCCACAACGTATCCAACTGCACAACATGCCCAACTCCACAACGTATCCAACTCCACAAAGTATCCAACTCCACAACGTGCGTGTCCAACTCCACAACATGTCCAACTCGACAACGTATCCAACTCCACGACATGCCAAACTCCACAACGTATCCAACCCCACAACATGTCCAACTCGACAACGTATCCAACTCCAGAAAGTATCCAACTCCACAATATCTCCAACCCGACAACGTATCCAACTCCACAACTTATCCATTGATTCAGCAAATTGAAAATGCCTAATATTCCACTTGTGAATGAAACGTTTGTTTATCGAAGCCATTTGCAATCATCACCCATTCGTGTGCCCACAAATTGTGACGTCACCTTGTTTCGTGGATTACGTAGTCGGTTACTTTATACCACAATGTACGACATCCCACTGCAGTAAGTATTGACACCAAGGAAAGCAGACAACCTGAAGTGAGAAGGTTGGAGCTAACGGTATCTTTTTTACTTGACATTTTGTAAAAATAAACTTTGGTAATGGTGGTATTAGCGATCTGGGGTTATTTATCTCTGTGCTGGACGATTATAGTTAGTGTACTTGCGTGTAATGCAGAGATTCGGAAGGCGAGGCGTGGCATTGTACGTACATCAAAAGTACCGCTTCGTGACGTCATACGAGACTTAATTTATGAGGTAGCACAATATAACTACCGCGATCCACGAATCAAGGTTATGCACGAAGGTTCATACCTGCTTCGCCTAAATTTCCTGCTAAATTTTTTCCACATCGCCTAATGAGCAGACATATCAGAACGCCTAATATCTATAATCACTGAACCGTGGGTCTCACTGGAACAGGCTAAGTTCCCAAGTGGGGGTGTTCCTTCTCCAAGCACTCCATTAATTCTTAGAACAACATAAATTAAGCTAAAGAAGTTTAGTAGCTTACGTGACTTTGAGATGAAGTTAGAGCAGGATATGTGGAAATATATAAGTACACACACAGGTTATGTTTACCATTTATTTATTTATGTATTTTATTTATCCCAGCACTCCATAAACACCCCTCTGATCATTACATATGGATTCTTCCATTTCCACTTCGCCTACTCCTTAGCAATCACCCAGGCGTTACATACCCACATTGCCTAAAAGATTTTCTGTACCTAATGGGTTAAACCAGGGAGACTCTATAAGGCCCTGTTGTAGAGTATCCCTGGTTAAACTTAGGCGAAGTGGGAGGACACCTCCACGAATTTAGGTTACGGTTCTGTACATGAACCTGATGGCCACATCGGTTGCATAAGATGGCTTGTGGTTGAATTTGTTACGCTCATAGGTTAATTCCTATCAGTTTAAATTTGTGTGAAGTAGCCCAACCAGTATCTTTTTACTATCGATCGCATAATCTATATTAGCCAGTACGACATGACTAATCTGAATGTAAATATCTCTTGCTTCTAAATATATGCCCAATCAGTGCAGAGCCGATTCCATACCGATTCTGTATTATATCTGTGTCACCTTTGCCTCTTTTGATAGCATCATTGTAGATTATAAAAAAGTCCATATTTCAAGGAAAACAGATCTGAACCAAACCAAATACAGCAATGTATATTTCAGCTCACCAAATACAACGATGTATATTTCAGCTCACCAAATACAACAATGTATATTTCAGCTCACCAAATACAACAATGTATATTTCAGCTCACCAAATGCAACAATGTATATTTCAGCTCACCAAATACAACGATGTATATTTCAGCTCAACAAATACAACAATGTATATTTCAGCTCACGAACAAGAATTATCTAAAGTTGACAATGGAAGGCATCCAAACGTCCGATGAAAGTACATTACTGAAGCGTTACCATGACAGTCTGATGAATGCACTTGGAAACAGAACCGAGGAGACCAAGGTAACGAGTAATTCTATCCTACATATTTCAGTGTCGATTGCTGCGTATATCCCCAGCTCACACTCAGACTGACACTATTTGTTTTGTGTTGTATGTCAGGATATCGGTTCTATATTTTTGCAGTTTCAAACAGACTGCATTTCCAACAGTTTCTTTGCTTTTCCGAAACTGGAAACCACCAACCACGACAGCAAACATATTGGAAAACTAAACCATAAGATGCAGATAAATCAACGTGAACGATGTAGTCCTGGGCCCCGTTCCTCAAAGCGATCGCAGCGCTACAACAGTCGTAAGTCTATGTTAAAGTATGGGAGTTACGATCAACTTTGCGCTACGATCGCTTTGAGGAACGGGGCCCTGGGCCCCGTTTAACAAAGCTATCGTAGCGCTACGACTGTCGTAAGTCTATGCTACAGCATAGGAGGTACGATTCCTACGAGAAAAGTTACGAGATCTTAGGCTTACGGGAGCTTTGTGAAACGGGGCCCACTGGACTTCATTTACAAACCATAGGGTACATTATGTATATACATATAGGTTTGCTTTCCTGTTTTCCGACAGACAGATTACTTATATATTACGAATACCTTATATTTAATCATGGCATGCATTGTCGTAACCAAGCTGCATTGTTATGTTACATAGGCTCTGGACTTGATTCACGTCTAAACCTGAAAGAAACGTTTATGGAAGAACTCTTGACAGGGCAAGATAACAAGAGTGGATATGAAATAATGGGAATCCTACACAAATAAGTGAAAAGCCGAGATGTAGCATATTGAAATTTGAAAATGTTTTGAAACCTACATCATTTACACGAAATGTGTACATTGTATATTTGCATAGAAATGAATACTGTCAGGGTTTTTTACTGACTGACTGACTGAGTTTGGTTTTACGCCGCTTTTAGCAATATTCCAGCAACATCACGGCGGGGGACACCAGAAATGGGCTTCACACATTGTACCCATGTAGGGATTCGAACCCGGGTCTTCGGCGTGACGAGCCAACGCTTTAACCATTAGGCTACCCCACCGCCCCCAGGGTTTTTTAAGCAATGGCGGTTTCACAGAATGGATCTGGCCACATTGTAATGGAAGATCAAATGTACATATTTAAACATCACGTATTTGAACATCGCTTATGTTTTCACAGATTAAAGACAAATGTTCTTATTTACAGCTTCCCAATCCAAATCGATACGCAGAAAGACGGAATTACTTGAGGCGTGCGTGTGTTTCCATACCAGGAAGACAGAAGACTCTGAGATCATTGCACACATTGTGGTACATGGACAGTCAGAAGATGTTATACTGTTCTGTTGCCAAGTCTGGTTCCAGCTTTTGGAGACGCACCTGGAAAGCACTCAGTGCATATGAAGGGAAAGAAACATCACCCTACAAGTTTGCTCATTCAGAGTTCAAATCTGAATATTATAGGCTGGACATTATTAATGCCACTAAGTCAGCAGAGGCTGGATTTTCCTTGTCAAGACTGCTGGAAACATCCTTCAAATATATATTCACACGAGATCCATACGCACGTATATTTTCGGCGTATGTTGATAAATTTGTAGCTCCTAATAAATACTTATGGAAGCAAATCGGAAAGAAAATAGCCAGATCCAGGGATTTTGCTTCCGATAAAAGTCTTCGATGTGGACACGATGTAACTTTTCGTGAGTTTGTGAAGTACATTATTCGCACTCCCCGGCGTCGTCTCGACGATCACTTCATCCCCGTGGCTAGTGTGTGCGACGTTTGCAACCTGCAATATGATGTTGTTGCTAAAATGGAAACGTTTAAAGAAGACGTGTCATACATTTTAAGGCATCTCAATGTTGACAACAGAATAAAGTTTAAAGATTTTGGAGTGGAACATACGGTTGACTCGGTCGTGGATTACGTAACACGGGCTTTCTCCCAGCGCGAACGGATTAGTTCCTGCGTGTCTTTCCACACTGCTCTGCGTCGTCTCTGGAGACAGATGCAGATCCTGGGAATAATATCCAAGCAGGAAGACTTTCCCCTGACCCCGGAACAAAGTGAAACATACAAGCAAACTGAAGTTATAAATTTGGCCCTTGCCGCGCACTGGAGAAGCGGTGACATATCCACATCCAATAAGCGGGAGGCCTTTATTCAGGCATATCAGCAGATACCCTTAGCCGATATGGAGGCACTAAGCCAAAAATATCAGAAAGACTTTTTGCTATTTGATTATGACGATCGGCCCCAAATGTTGTTTCAGAAATCTGAACAGTTGTACATGACATTTGATTATTTTGATGTGCTGAAGGAGTGAGTGTGTGAGTTTAGTTTTACGCCGCTTTTAGCAATATTCCAACAATATCACGGCGGGGGACACAGGAGATGGGCTTTACTCATGTGGGGAATCGTACCCGGGTCCTCGGCATGACGAGCGAACGCTTTAACCACTAGGCTACCCCAAAGCCCATGTGCTCAATCAATAGACATGAACTAAGAGTTTGTTACATTACAGTTGCGATAAACACTTGTACAGACGAAAACTGTCACTGGCATATTTAGAATTAAGCAAATCCTGGCACTTTACAATACATTACAAGTGGACAAAGGACTAAAATCTGTACTATACTGAGAATGTGTAACATGTGTTACATTTTGACCCTTTTCTAAACGGCATTATGTATGTGCTTCATACTGCTCGTGAGTAGGAGAAGCACTCTTTGACTGAAAGAATAATTATTCAGAAGCTAAGCTACCGATTCTCCCGAGTAGTCTTTCTTGTGTTATTTTAGTGTAAAAAACATTAAGCCACATATCATGAGTGACTGAGTGAGTGAGTGAGTTTACGCTGCACTCAGCAATATTTCAGCTATATGGCGGTGGTCTGTAAATAATCGAGTCTGGACCAGACAATCCAGTGATCAACGGCATTGAACATCGATCTACGCAATTGGGATACGATAACATGTGTCAACCAAGTCAGCAAGCCTGACCACCCGATTCCGTTTGTCTCCTCTTACGACAAGCATGGGTTTCTGATGATCAGTTCTAACCCGCATGGCTACACATGGCTAGCTAATGACAAAAAGAGAATGTATTTTCACTAGGAGATCATAGCCAATGACTAACTGACTCCTTTCCTTTGAGAAAACAAATTTCTGAAAAAATGCTGGTGACTCAACAAATTTCCAAGATGCAATTAACTTACTACAACCTTTGATTCATCATCATCATCATCATCATCATCATCATCATCATCATCATCATCATCATCATCTTCATCTTCGTCACGACAGGCATAGGTCGGTCACTTCCTGTTACTGCTGGTGGTGTACAGCAGCCTACCTCTCGCTCACACTCATCAACACATTTATCAATAATCAACGTACCTAAGGATCATCAAGAAGCCCAAAACATCATCGGACCAGCAACAGATCCTCCACCGCCGCGGCAAGTCAGGTCACCGGCTCCCGTAACACCTTTCACGTCCACGACAGCTACCAGTCACAGGCGTGAACTTAAGGCGTTCATCGCCCGAAACGGCTACATCCCACTTAACAACAACAAACGTCCACGATACACACTGTTACACCTACAATCACCTACAGCAATATCTATAGTCATCACCACCACACAACTTGCTGATACAACAACAGGGGAGGTACATCACGACCCCCGGGGCAGCAACCACAGCCCCATACTTTCAACACCAACTTACCACAGTATTACATGAAGCACCAACACAATGTACACCCATATTCACTACTTTGTCAACTCTGTCAAGAAGATTTCAACTTAATGCGAGATATGAACGACACAAGTTGTGGCGTCGAGAAACAAAACATTCTCCTCATATACAAAACACATATCTAAATTGGACTATGCCGCTTTGGTCAGCCACATCATTTCAGTAAATGACCATCAAACATTAAATTCTATCCTGTGTAAAAGACCTCAAAATAGTCTAGGGTGCTAGGACTGGCAAATATTTCAGGCACAACGTCAATCAATCGCATAACTACGAAACCAAATCAGCTCAGTTACTCGGCTGTGTGACATACCAAAACACCAGAAAAGGCACCCGACAAATTCAAGCTTATCCCACACAGTGCTCCCTGCCTCAAACACCTACAGGAACTCCTATAAAACATGAACTAATTAACCTAATCTCAACAGGCCGTTGGTGTAGCCTCGTGGTTAATACGTTTGCTTGTCACGCTGAAGACCCCGGTTCGATTCCCCACATGACATCAATGTGTGAAGTCCATGTCTGGTGTCCTCCACCGTGATATTGCTAGAATACTGCTAAAGGCGGCGTACAACCAAACACACTCACTGATTCACCCGGGCACCCAACAACAAACTACAAACGCTACTAAACCTACCTAAACGTACCGATTGAAAAGTAAAAACAAACATAATCATCAAACACATGAAGGAGACCTCCGTCGGAAAACTACACCTGTCCCACTGTGGAAGAACGCTGCAGATGGTCAACACCTCCATTGTATAGATGACGGAGTCGATGACAAGATGTCCTCGCAAGAGACAGTACATGTAAATTGATCAAATATTGCAGAGGCTGAAAGAACATTTATAGGGAAGCGAGAAGTCCGCGTGAAGTCCACTTAGGAATTCCCTGACTCTTCGTGATATTTAGTGGAAGTTGGATGAACTGCTGCTCATCTGCCGCAATATTTTATACAATGCTGCTGCATTATACAAAACTTGTATTATGCTACAGAAATGCGTTAACCTTGAATACATGCTATATAGTGCTTGTTCATCTGCTGTTGCAGTACAAAACGTCATGTTAAAGAATGTTTCACGTTTTCTTTGTATGTAATCTATACTTCATTTCATAAGTTTAGACTTACTAGTATAAATATAGCCACTTACTTCAGGCAACTGTTCTAAACTAAATTTTGCAAAATATTCCATACTGTTTAAAGGTACTGTTTACACATGCACTGATGTATTGCAAAACAAATTAGTAACGTTGAAAAGAATATTGTCATGAGTTCAATGAATGATAACAAACAGTGAAAATTGGGGAATTCTTAACAAAACTTTACACCAAAACGCAGCTGTTCACATGCTCGATATTTGCACATGCTTTTCAGCAATGTGATGCATGATCCTCGTGCATTTCATCTGCATAAGGTTTGCATTTGGTTCCCCCACGTTAGTGGAGAAATCAACCTTCGATGTAAACGACAAAAGTCTGAAGATCCTTGTACAGTCATCATTTCTTTAATTCTAACCGGTATCACACTGTTAATGTGATCATCATGAGAAAAGCGTTGCTATGATTTGTGTATAACGTTGTATGATGATAACACCTCTCGTGTTTTTGTAAACGGTAAAATGACCGGTAGTTCCGCTGTATTTAGCGGTGTAAAACAAGGCACTTTTCTCGGTTTTCGTAAACGATTTAGTTGAAGAGATTAATCATCTAAAGTGCGGGGTAAAGGTAGATAACTCCATAATCAGTAATATTTTGCTGTATGCGGACGATGTCGCGCTCGTTGCCCCTGATGAAGCGTCGTTGCAATCAATGTTAAACTGTGTCGCCAACGGATGTAAGAAATGGCGTCTCCAAATAAATAGCAAAAAAACTAAATTGTTCATCACCGTAACATGTCCTCTGTTAGATCATCTTATCATTGTACTTGTGGTGAAGAAAATATAGAGATTGTGCATTCTTATAAGTATCTTGGGCTTTGGCTTAATGAATATTTGGATATGAATTATACAGCAAAAAAACAACATAAGTCAGCTAGTAGAGCTCTTGGTGTAATAATCTGTAAGTTTAAAGCAGTGGGAGGAATGGACTATAGTGTATTTAATACTTTATATGATAATTTAGTGAAACCAATTTTATCGTATGGTTCGGCTATTTGGGGCACTAAAGAATCAGTTGCATTAATGCTATTCAAAATAGGGCTTTACGCTTTTTCCTCGGAGTAGGTAATAAGACACCCAATCTGGCAGTAAGGGGTGAATTGGGTTGGACATCATATTTCACAAAGCCAAAAACTGAGATTTTACGTTTCTGGAAAAAATTGAGTTTGGCAGATGAAAATAGGCTAAGATTGTACAAAAATGGTCTCTCAAATTTCGGAAATCATGGGAAAATGCAGTTATGAAATTATTTGAGGTGCAATCAGTTACTCAAGTGGTAGATAATTTATTATCTAATAATTTTGCCTATGCAAGAAATGCGCTTATTGATAATGATAAGGATTTATGGTTGAAGCAAATTTGGGCTGATAAAGGGTTAACTAACGGTAATAAACTGAGAACTTATCGACAGTTCAAAATGTCTCTGAATACCTCCCAGTATGTGACTAATGTATCCGATAGAGAACATCGCAGTTTATTGGCAAAGTTTAGATGTGGCACCCTTCCTCTTGAAATTGAACTCGGTCGCTTTTCGAAACCAAAAACCTCATTAACTGACCGTATTTGTAAACATTGTAACGCTAATTATAGCAATGGAGAAGAGGTCGATTTTCTAACATCATGTAACCTTTATGTAGACTTAAGAGCTTATGTTTGGGACCGTGCTTCGTCTCTTAATCCAAATTTTGGTTTATAATTACTCCTGTAGAACAGACCATATGTCTCATGCAGTGCTACAACTTATCCAACTCCGTAGCCCCAGTAATTAAATCTATGCATTGGCGCAGGTTATATTACAATCCCCTATTGTCACAAGCGTAAATTGGTAAATATCAATACGCTATATAGTACGATAATATATATAATTTTAAAAAAAATGTATTTTATTTTATTTTATTTTTATTTTTAATTTTTTATATGTATATATTAACGTGTATTTTAAATGATTATCAAATGCCCTCGTGTATTTGTAACGCTTGCACGTAAAGTGCTTTTAGTTTTTTGTTAAAAATGTATTTTAGCATCCTGGTGTCTAATAGGCCCACGTTGGCCGGGTGTTGTGTATTTTGTACATTGTTTTATCATTTTATGTGATTTTCATGTACACAGCAGTGAACACCTGAATAAACTATTTTCTTCTTCTTCTTCTGCTTCTTCTTTTATAACGGCGTTGCTCACATACGGTGAGTGTTTTAAGTGAGTCGAAACTTTTGAAAAGAAGTCTATATATTCAACTCTCCATACGGGCGAGTCTATGTTGCTATGTTCCTGAAAGGGTCTGAGTATTACTCCTCAAACAAGGCCCCCGATAATCCAGCTGATGGACTCAAGGATCAGTTGTCAACATATTATTTTACAGCCTTTCAGCAGTATTTGAGACAGTCGTTTGTATATATCTATCTCATGGACGTT